ACCCCCCTTACACGGTGCCTGGAGGCTGAAAGGGTCTGGATGGGGAACAACAGGCTTCAGCTGAACCCTAGTAAGATAGAGTGGCTGTGGGTTAATGGCTCCTCTGTATCTGGGACTTTGTCATCGTTGTTGCTGGATGGGGTAGCATTGCCCCAGACAGACCCAGTGCATAATCTGGGGGTCCTCCTGGACTCATGGCTCCTGCTCAAAGAGGAAGTGGCAGCCCTGGCCGGGGGGGTCTTTGCACAACTTTGGGTTGGGCATCAGTTACGCCCTTTCCTGGATCGGGATGCCCTTTGAACAGTCATTCATGCCCTTGTTATCTCCCATATAGCCTACTACAGTGCACTCTACATGGGGCTACCCTTGAAGAGTATTCAAAAGCTACAGCTGGTCCAGAATGCAGCCATGCGGGCTATTTTGGGAGTCCCCAGAAGGGCCTGTGTAATGCTGTTGCTCCGCAAGCTGCATTGGGTACCAGTTTGCTTCTGAGTCCAATTCAAGGTGTTGGTTATCATCTTTAAAGCCCTACATGGCATGGGACCAGGTTACCTAAGGGACTGTCTCTTTCTCATGATGTCAACCCATCCCACCGAGTCACATAGAGAGGGCATACTTCGGACCCCCTTGGTAAAAGAACTCCAATCAGTGGGGTCCAGAAGGCAGGCCTTCTCTGCTGTAGACCCCACTCTTTGGAATATTCTGCCCCTGGAGGTGAGATTGTCCCCCTCACTCCTGGCCTTCCGGAGGCCTTTGAAGACCTGGCTCTGCCACTTGGCCTGGAGTGGGGAGGGATGTCATCAAATGTGGGGATGGCTAGCTCCTTAGAGGCCTGTTGTCCTCAGCCCCGGAATCCATCATTTTCTTGGACTTTCTCTTTTTGGTAATGTTTTGTATAATTTTTTATGCTTTATGTATTTATATATATTTATTGTTTTAATGGTTTGTGTGAGCTGCCCAGAGTCCCCCATTGGGGGGGGATGGGCGGAGATAAATTTAATAAATAATAAATAAACCTCACGCACTTGAATTCCCTTAGCACAACTATGTATAACTAAGTTATGGCAAGAACCACCTTGTCATTTTCATAAAGATCAAAGAAAGAGATCTACTGTATCTTGCTTACATACCCTAATTTAAATATTAGTCTTGTTCACACTTCAGGCTGAACCACTGTTTATTTAACATTCTTCATTGAATCAATAGGCTGGTATAAATGCCCTCCGGGGGCAATATCTGTGAGAGATTTCCAAGAAAGAGGAGCTGAAAGCTAGTGTGATCCTCACGAGCTTTATTAAAGGTAAATACTTACAGGAGTGAACACGCTGAAATACGGCGTTAGCTTAGTTCAGGGTATACAGTCACCCCTAGTATAAAAAAATGAGCCATATCGCCCCTTACAATCTTGCCGATAAACTTCCACTTCCCTCAGGGGTGCCTAGGTGTGGACTAAATAATGTGGTGCTTGCACAAGCAGGATTTCTATATGGCAATCCTCCAGCTCTAACTGAATACAAAAAAACCACCAACAATATATTACCATACTTAATAAAAGTGAACATGCAACAATCATACAAAGAAACACCAAAACCTTTTTCTACCATGCTCCCCATCCAAAAACATTAAGCTCCCCCAGCAACCCTTCATTTTTCAGGTGGTATTGTGGTACTTCCTTAAACTGGATGCTTTTATTCAAAAATTCAGCCTTGTCCGGGATGAACAAATAACATTACTGCTTAATGGCACATATTCCTCCTTGGGCAGCCATTGGCACATCAAGGGGCCTGATTTACTGCTGTAGGACATCAGTGATAGCATTCAAGGACTCTAAAATGAGATTTAAAAATACATTAACTTTAGTCATCATACGTCCCACTCCAACAGAAGATATTAAAAAATAGCCCATAGTCCCAGATTCCACAAACACTCCTTTTTTTGCCTTCTACTCTTTATGTCATAAAAATCCTCATTACTATCATTACCATAAAAAAACTTCTCATTGATTAAATAAGATAAAGAAACAAACTTTTTCTTTAACTCTTTGGTAAAAAGATCTAACTGATAATAATCTAATGGAAACCCACTATGCCCACATAAAGCAAAACAAATCCAACAATTACATTGATCATTTATTGAGGCATACTTATGCTAGATGTCCTTCTGACCCCAATGCTCTGCAGAAGCTACTGCAACCAAAATAAATGGCAGGCTCAAAAAGGTGCTCATCTAGGAGTTAGAAAACGGTTAGGCACAATGACAGTTTTATCCTTATTGCTGCTACTGCTAGCACTTTTGCCTTTACCAGTCTGCCATCTGGTTTTCAATATCATACTTCCTTTCCTGTGGATCCAAATCCACTCTTGCCTCCCTGGCCCACCTATCTTTTTTACTGGGCAATTCATAGCTTTCCCCAAAATTAGCTGGGCAATCCAGTCCCCTTCCTCAATAGGCAGAACAGCCTGGAATTTTCCTCTATTACACTGCCTAGCACCTGGATTCCCTTTGCAGCCCCACTAGAACTGGCAGCAATCCAGCCAATCAGCTTTTAGTGCTGCTATGACCACAGATCTAGAGGTACAGAGATCTATCCTTATTGCTTTCAGTGCACCTAATGGGCATTAGTGCATTAAAGCCAAAGTGGGGGTTTCAGGGGACATCCGAATCATAAAGTTTCTCTGATGCGGTTGTTTACTTCAACTGAACTCTCCCGACTATTTAATGTTTTCTGGAGGGGCTGCTGGAAGAGTCGGTTTGTTATTAACCTCTTCCAGGAATGTGACCGGCCCCAGAATTGCCATTTGTTCAATACTTAATGGTGATGAATTGAGTACACCTCTCTGTTGTAAATAACCTTTCCATCTGACCCTGACCTCATTTTTCCTGTTTTGGAGTCACTTATCCACCCCTTTATTGGGGATGGCTGTTTTAACTGTGACTGGGTTGTCTTTTGTGATTCCCTCCACATGTTGTAGTGCATAGGAAACTGCTAGCAATTGCTGTACCAATAGGGAATACATCACCACCTCACCTTTGAACAGTTGTGATCAAAATCCTATAGGCCACTTTTTCTGATCAGAGTCAGTTTGCACATCCATCCTCTCTGACTCCCACTGCAAGTTGAAAAGGACCCCCTTGATCTGGAGCTTGTAAAGGACCATCTTTGTTGAACTAAAAGTTTTGCCTGACTGAAAGCATTCCAATTCCATACCATCCCCTTCTTTACGAGCTTGTATAAAGGACAAAGTGTTTGTGCTATATGTGGGAGGAAACCACCAGTAACCCAGCATTCCCAAGAACTGCTGCGACTCCTTCACTGTCTGGGGAAGGGGGAAATGTCGTACCTTGTCAACCACAGTGTGAGATAAAGCCCGTGTCTTTCCTTGACCACAGGACTCCTAAAAATTGTACATCGTTTTGTAGGTCAGTTGAATACTTCTGCAGTAAAGATAGATCATCAAGAGTTATGATAATCACAACAATGCATGCCCCCATACCCTGATAGAGTATGACTGAATGCAAACAATGCTGAGACATAACTTGAATTGTCCATTGCATTCCTGATTAGGTAAAGACAACATTATACACTTTAACTGCAGAGAACTTTAATACCATTTAATTCCCAGTAATTTCCCAAAATCAAAATTTGCAAAGCTGGGAAGAGGAAATCTATGTATTGGCATAGGAATTTATTCAGTGTCTGGATTACTTCCAGAACACTTTTCCTTATCACCCAGTAGAGTTTAAAAGCTAAAACACATGAAGCCAACCCACCTTTTTTCCCCAGTTTCTTTTCTGAGATTACCTAGGTCTCCTCAAGAGGAGCAATCAATTTCTCCTAACATTAGCAGCTGTAGGAAAGGAAATTTGCTAGAAACAATTGAAATTCAGATCTTATTCTAATGAAGGGGCTTAACATCCAGCCCATGTACTGCAATAGCTTTTACACTAGAGTAGGAAGCAAGCCTCTCCCCACCCCTCCATGTCTAACAGACTGAAAAATTTTCTTCAGGGCTCTTGTTCTGTTGTTTCCAAGGAACTAAAGCCCCCAAAGCCATAAGAAGGGTAGGAAACCCTTCATAAGATTTTTTTTTTAAAACATTAGGCTGGGAATTCTCCCCTAACCTCTCTTTTGAGTCAGTCTTGACTGGTAGCATTGTCGGCAACTCTTTCAGAAGAGGCTTGCCAGTGCCTCCTTCCTAGGGCTGAGTGAGTGACTGGCCCAAAGTCACCCAGTTGGCTGCTTTGCAACAAAGGCAGGTCTAGAACTCACAGTTTCCCAGTATCTAGCCTGGTGTCTTTACTCTCTACACCAAACTGGCTCTCTGCAAAAAAAATTGTTAGCCCTTCCTTTTGCTTGGCTTCAAAAGAAAGGAGAGAAAGAAAGGAAAATAGTACAAACATTTGATAACAACCTGCCACACCCTTTGCAATGGCAAGGAGTTCCAAATGCACACACTGAATTAGATCTTAACTTTCCCAAAGCAAAAGCATATCAAACTTCATCTCTTTTGCTCCTTTACCTAGAATGTTCTCAAATTCATTATTAAGGACAAATCCAGAACAAACCCAACATTCTGTGTGTTTGGACACACAACATATGCTCACTTCAAACTATCTGAATCAACAACGATCGAATCTCCTTCTCCTGCTCCAACAGCAGTTTCTTACTTTTCCCCCTCAAGCTCCATTTTTCACCACCTACCTTTTTAAGGGCTTCCAACAAAAGCCATCTGGTCCGAGCAGCTAGCATTCATCTGTCAGCTTTTACTGCTGAAACTTTTAAAGTTTCCAGGCACTGCCTAATCTCCACCAGGGAATTAGTAGGCATCTTTCCAGGCTTTGGCATCTCTAGCTGGTCAAGCCAGTCCGCAACTGGATTCCAGTGCGACCTGGATGGCCAACCCAGGATTCTCCCCCAAGCCCCATCCCCCTATCTGCCTTTTTACCCCAGCCCATTTCTTGGAAATCCTGTTCATGATGCCAGTTGTAAATGCCCTCCGGGGGGGGGGCACTATCCATGAGAGATTTCCAAGAAAGAGGAGCTAAAAGCTAGTGTGATTATCACAGGTTTTTTTTAAAGGCAAACATTTACAGGAGTAAACATGCAGTCTCCCTAGAGCGGACAACAGGTATTTATACTGTGTTCTGCCAGGGCATGTCTGTGCCAAGGAGCTGGTTTTATAACCATCATGCTGAGCATAAGCAAAACAAGTGTGAGAAACTGGCTTATCAGCCTGTGAAATGTCTTTCCTGTGAACTCCTCAGTATCTCTGCACCTGGCATTACCCCCAAATGCATTCCCAGATACAGCCTGTGCTGTGCTGTGCATGTAACTATTTTTCATACTAAAAGTTCATGCAGTGGTTAAACGTGGCATTAGCCTGGTTCAGTGTATACAGTTGGGTTCATACAGAGTGCTAGGTTATAAAGCATGGTTTATGGAATATAAAGGCTGAGCTGACGTACACCAGCATGAAAGCAGATTTAGTATGTGTGAAGCCTGGATGAACACATGAAGCCCAACCGTATGATGGCTTAGGGCAATATAGGTATACAACCTTTATGGCCTATAAAGATGATTTTGGCTTATGTTGTGTGACCCCAGTTGTGGTTTATTTACCAAAAAATAATGGCCACTTAGCAGAGGATTATTGATATTTCATCTTTGATTTCAGAAGATACTTTGTTTCTTCAACAGATTGACAAAATGCTTTATGCTTCTGCTTTAGCTCAGATTTCCATATTTTTTTTAAGTCCTCACAATTCCAGAGCAAAGTTTGAACTCCATGGGCATTTATTTCAATTTAACAGAATTAATGACCTCTTTCTGTTAGTCCCAGCATGCCTGAAGTGAGTAGAAGCTGCGTTAATTATGTTTTTATTAGCAAGCCAGTACCAGTATGTTCCTCCCCTCTTTTTCCCCTCCATTTCCTATAAATAAAGTAAAAGAAGGGTTTGTTCTGCTTCACTGGAGCAAAAGCACAGTACAATAGAAAGCCACTCAGCTACATAAATAGTCGCTGTCCTGTGACATCTTTTTCTAAACAAAAATATTCATGGAGTGAGCCTCATTGTTTTTATTAGCGGACTACATGATGAAGCAATGGAATTGGTATTGTAGTGACCTGCAAGCATAAATGATGGGAATGGTTGGGATTTCCTTAAAGCAGTAAATTCATGGCATTATATTGCAAATTCCTTTTCTGTAGTTTTAGTCTGGAGATGTGTTAATCCTGTATAGTTTATCCTTCAGCTGCTTTCACCATCCAGTTATCAAAGCCTCCCTCCCCCCCAGTTACTGTTTTCTCCCATTGCCATGACTACATTTATGAACTGCTTGGGGAATTCAAATAAATTGAAAGGCAGACTATAATATTAATAAACATAAATACTTCTTCTCCGTATAGCTTTGTGTTGGTTTTCAGCCATGTTAGAGGTTTGAAACTTGTGGCTCTCAAGATACTGTTATCTTATTCTCTATTGCTCCTTCCAATGGCGAGGGATGACAGGAGCTGGAAGTCACAGATCCCTGACCACTGTGTTAAATACTGGGACTTGAAGCCACGGTGAGGCTTTAACCCAAGGAATGCCAGGAAGACGTTGAACTGCAAGGTCAGCTGAGCCAGTAAGGAATAATGTAGCAAGAATAGAGAGTCATCCTCCCATTTCCCTAACTGCAGAATGAACATGCCACGGTAACCATGTTTATATAACATGCCCTCATAACCTGGCCTTTGTTTTATCCCCAGACCACAGCAGCTGGGACAGCTTAAAATCATCTTTAGCCATTCCTGTTTTAAAGTACAGTTCTCCCTTTTCTCCAGTACAATTTTTGCCATGGATACCATCTAACATGCTCTAGCCACAATCCAGTTGATATACAATCAGAGACTGAGATCTCCCCAGCTTGCACTGGCCACGTTAGGCTGCTGCAGGCTTGCTTCCTCCCTTCTATTCACTGGGCACTGTCCTTTGGGAGAGGGCAGATACCTGGCTTCAACAAAGGAATCTGCCTCTGTAATGCCTGACCAGCATGTTCTGAAATGCTTGTTAGATGATTTATGTATATACACCTCTGCTAGCACTATTTTGAAAGAGCACTAGACCTCTGTTGCATAGAAAGTTATTTAAATTGGGGAATAGAGCCAGGTTCTGCTAGCGTTACGTTTCTGGTTCAGTCACCAATGAGGACATTACAGGTTTTTCCTCTACTTCTGCCAATAAGGAGTTTTACATGACCATATTGTTACTGTTCTCCTTACTTTGGATGGGAGTGATGCCATCTTGCCTACTTTGTAAGTTACTTCCATATACATCAGCAACGGCCCTTTACCACTAGCATTGCCATTCCCTTGTAGCACTAATAAAGAATAGAGCTTGCTTGTTGATGATATTGTTATTGATGGAGCTTGGTTATTTTTGCTCTCTCCTTTACATCTTCTTGACAGACAGATTACAGGAGTGGAGGAGTCATACAAGGTGAAGTAGAAGGAAGCAACCCCACTGCTCCTTACAACCATTTTGCCCCATGATCTATGAGGCAATATCTGAATGTGGATCTAATGTTATTTTGAAAGAGTGCTAAAACCATGTGCAGAAATAACCAGAGTGACAGATTGCAGGTGCTGAAGAAGAGTGCAGGGTGATACGGAGAGAACTCTTCGTGATGTGCCAAATCGCAGCTTGAAATGCCCTGTAATCATTTTTATATGAGATGTCATCATAGTGTTGCCTTTGCTTTATTCTGCAGCTTACACATATGTCAATCCAGTTGATTCCTTAGGGTGGTGCCAGTCTCATCTTCTTAATCTTCCCACGCTCCTGCTGGGGACTAAGGAAATGCTTATCTCCCCGAGCATGGCCTTCATCAAACCATTCCATCACAACACTAGTGGATGATGCTAGGATTTGTACCATGACATGTAGAACTCTGTTTATGGCTGGTACAAAGATATTTGTTTATGATAGAGTCATATTTTGTGCCTGAATATTTCTTGTTTGGTCTCCATAAATGAGATTTCATATTTTCTTCTATTCTACATCCAAATCCAGTTTAGACTTCAATCGTGTTTTTTGCCTTTTCTATCATTATGACTAATTTCTCTCTGCAATGAGTGCCCTTTCAACATTCAGGCAAATCCTAATTCTCTCTTCCTGGTAGCTTTGTTTTCTCAGTACTGCTAGCTGAAGCTGAAGACAAATATTGATTGATATCAACAATGGAGATTGGAGATTGATTTCTTCCTTGGCCTCCACCAGAATTGGCTGCCTTCCCAGAAATGCCTTTTAATTTGTTGTTTTTAAGGTATTGCCATCAGATTAAGAAGAGAAGAAAGTCTAAAACAACGTTTTTCAGATGCATACTGAGCACACAAGCCATGGTAAAAGAAGAAATAGGATTGGCTGAGTATAATAAAGATGTGGGACACATTGTCAGGTAAACAATTTGTCAAACTCTTGAAGGCTGGATAAAGGATGTGAAATGCTGACTTCTGTCAGTACTTGATTTCTTCTCCATCAGGGACTATGTGGACAGCCTCAGCTTCAACATAATCCCAAATTATACCCGCCCCCCCCCCCCCCCA